GGCGGTGTGCTGTTTGTAACATGCTGTCTTACAGGTGCAACGGTAAGAACCGTGTTCCCTCCGCCATCCCCCCGTCCAAGCGGAAAAACACCCATTCATGCCCACCTGTCCTCACGTGACCACATACACCCCCTAGTGGCCAAAATACATAACACACTCCAAAGTTATAAACGGCTCCCACACTATCTATAGATAATAATTGTAATTGTAAATGCAAAAAACAACCCATTGTATGCTTGCCTTTATAATTAATTAATTTATGCATTTTTAGGATTGGTGCCTTGGAAATGGGCTGGACGCCCTGCATGGTTCACACCCCGCAGCTTGTAGTGAGTATTGTCAACAAGGAGGCAAGTGTTCAGAGACTTTCACAAAATCAGGTCAGTGGTGAAGCTCTTCAGAAAGTCCTCCGTGGCAACTCAAAAGATGCTCCATCAGCGGGGCTTGGTTGTTCTCAATGACTGTCCCACATGTTGGTCAAGCACATTCAAGATGATAGTACACGTCTTTGAAGTGAAAGAGCCACTCAGCAAAATTGCTGACAACATGGGATGGGACAGTCTGCTTCCCAGGGAGTGGCAAAAGCTTAAGGCTTGACTTGCTGCTGCCACATGCAGAACATGCAAAAATATTCCAGACTGTCACCATGTCTTTGCCCCTTGATGTCCCTGACCTCCTTGATTTGGTCAGCCACCTAGATGAACTTGCACAGACAGCAAAATACAGACATCTAGCTACCCTTGTCCAAAAAATGAAAGCCAGTATGAATCGGTGCTTTGGCTGCTTTTTGGATCCAGATGAGGATAACTCTCTCCCCTTCCAACAGCTGCATGTTTTCTCAGCTCCACTGTCTGTGGAAACACTTGTGGAGTTCAAGGATGAGAAAATCCAAGAGCTGCTGAAAGAAGCAGAGGAGTATGTGGCAAAGCATATCCTGCCAGATTCGGACACACAGATGGATGATCGGTTTGACGTTGTTGCACATGTAACCCTTCTCTACGTACTTTAACGTAATGAGCTGACCTGGGTTCTCTGGCTATCACCGTTCTGAGCCCCCTTATTAAATCTATTTACAGAAACCCTTCAACAGACATTGTTTAAATAGAAACACAGCAAACTTTATTTTGCAAAATAATAAATAACTCAGCCATTCCTCTCTGGCATTGAATAATCAAGAAAAAAGGAAAAGAAAAGGAAAGATCTTGCTTTATGTGGCAGGCAACAACGTATGCGTCAACATAACAATAGGGTCCTCCTCAACCAGTAATTGTATCACAACGCACCAAATAAAACCATTTACAATTACACACAATACTTATTTAGACAAATTATAGCTCCAAAAGTAAACAGTAGGTTAAGAAATTAAATAATAATAAAAAAAAACCCGTTTGTCAATGCGATGGCACGCTTGGCTGCACTACTGTTAGGACAGTCTCTGTGTTATATGTGCTATATAAATAAACTTGACTTGACTTGACTCCTTTGAATAGGATGCCAGCTGTAAATTAATATAGAATGTTCTGCTTTTTGTGTCTTGGTAACTTTTTGTATACAACAATTGCAATGGCTAGGAATCAATTCAGAAATGGAGGAAACAACAAATGGAGAAAAAGCAGGCCTGATGTGGAGTTGGGGTCATGTGTGGCTGAACAGGTCAGGACTGTCTGTGCCCCGGATCAGAAGCGCAAGTTCAGATCACATGCCCAGTAGAGTGATGTCACCATTTGGCCCCTGAGCAAGGCCCTTACTCCCAGCTGTGTCAGGGACTGTCTGACCTTACTTTATGGACTGTACATCACTTTGGATAAAAACATCTGCTATTTGACATTATAAAAAGCCATGCTGCAAAAATTCACCCTGGGACGACGGCCTGTCCAGGGTTATTCCCTACCTTGTGCCCACCGCTTCCAGGATAGACTGCAGACCCACCCAAGCCTGCATTGTACAAGTATTACACGTATACATTACACAGATACTACCTGAAAGACATACTCAAAAACTAAAACAGTATGGAATCCATTATGTGAACACAAACCACTAGCACAAACCACTGGTACTTCATAAAGTCCATCATTCTCTTTGAATCAATCCATCCATCCATCTGCTTTTGCTGGTCAGGGCCTAAACACCCTTGGTCACCTGACAAGGTTTTACAGAAACAAGCAAGCTATAGTAAACAAAAAAAAACCTTTGCTTTTCACAAAACAAACTTAGAATACTTAAAATGTAGAATATTTTGATATATGAAAAATGCATACCATAAATGTTTTACATGGGTGTTTTTTGCAGTAGAAACACTGGGTCTTTAAAACTGTGCTTATTGGGACCAAGGGGATGCCCGCTGTACTGCTGGACAGAGCGTGTGTGTTTTAAAAGAAAAAAAAAACATCACTACACACAATGTGTGACAGTCAGTGCCATACACAGCAACGGGCACACAGAGGGCGGGGTGGGGGGGGGCACCCTCTCCGAGACAGCTCAGCTTCGCTCCTGCTACGCCCAGCAGCAGAATCCACAAGTGCACCCCAGCCAGCACTGGACAGGTGTGGGGCTGCTTCCCCCCATCTGTATGTCAGGGCTGCCACTCGTCCAGGCTGGCTGTGCACCTCATAAAGCAGGACTGAGTTTCGGCTGCTGGACCACCCAGGACCGTCACCCTTCCACCAGGGCACCTAGGACCACCTCCACCACGACAGACACAAGGTCCACATAATGCCAGAAGGGAAGAACACAAAATGGACCCAGAGCTATTCAGATGCACCCAGATATGGCATTTCTGAGGTGAGGTGTACCTTCATTTCTGCTTTTAATTTAAGACCAACTGCAATATACATGTCTTGTGATATTATTGTTATTTTGCTGAGAGAAGGACACACATGCCAGATTTTAAGATGACAAGCTCAGTGAGTCGATTACTGATGCTATAGAAGCACTGTGGGATGTCCAGGCAGGCGAGGTGTGATGAAAAACACACATCCTTTACATCCCAGCTAGTGCTTTTAAGATAAACTACTGATGTGGTCTGATATTGTGCATTGTGTAAGACTCGTGTAATATTTTTAACATATATAGGTTTTTTGCAATGTCAAGCACACAAGTTTGAAACACTAGCTACGAAAAAATATATTCTAGTTTTTGGAGACTTTCTTGTTGAGTAAAGACATTGTTCATTGATTAAGGTCTTGCTCTACAGTGGAAGTGGCAGGCAGCCAATTTCAGTGACAGCTGGTAGTCCAGCAGAAGTGACTCAAAACCTGACCAATGACAAATGGTATATAACCCATTAGTGTGAAAACAATTTTCTGAAAAGGGTGAAAATGAGAGAGTCAGTCACTGGAACAGAGGGTTTTGAGCAGGCTGTGAGCTGTTCTGACTTCTTTTGTCACATGATGTACTTAAAATTTGAAGATTATAATGTTACATTTAAGTGTACAATTAAAATCTTTCATCGACTGCTGAAGATGAAGCAGTAGAGTTGTTTGAATGTGCCTAGGGGACTTCTTACAATCTCCTGTAAACACTGTTAGCAGCATTTTACATGCTAAGGCCAAGGAGCATCTAGTGAGTAGTGAGTATGAAAGCCTGAAAGACCATTGGCAGCATGTATCGGCAATACAGGCTAGCAGCAGGCCAAAAAGAGCACGAAAATGCCAGTTCACTGGAGGTCGCTTTAAGAAAATGATCTGGCATGGACAAAGTGCCTTTTTTCTCCCTTATCTACAGCACACAGGAGGGCCCCTGGGCTGCGAGGGGCTCGGCAAACACAAAGCCATAGTGATTCACCTCTGATCTGCCTTTTTCAAACCACTTTAATGTGCACATCCTTTATATAATGAAAGGTTATAAATAAAATCATTGCAGTTATATTATACACTAACATCAAAAATGAGATTCCATTCAAGCATTCAGAAAAAGTCAGGCAAAATTCAAATGCATTTTTGTCTCATTTAGATATTTATTAACTGCATGACAACAACAATGATCCAGACAATAATAATTGATCAATCCATTCCTGTCATGGAGCAGTAAAGAATGCAGGACAGCTCTCTCTCTCTCCCTCTCTCTCTCTTTTTCAGTGTAAGATGCCCACAGACAGATTAGTCAAAACAAAGCTACATTTGCACTTGAAGTATCATACTAAATGGTTCATAGCAGAGTTTCTCAACCCTTCCAACCACATGGCCCGGCTATTCATGATTTATGATTTTTCCCTCCAGTTAGATTTCAGTAGGTGGGGGCAGTGGTCGGGGGGGGGGGGTGATTCATAGGGCTGGGCAATATGTCAAAAGTATTATTACAATATTTTTTTCCATAACAGTAATAATCACTTTTATTTAAAATTCC